CTTTCTGCAGTTGATTCTTTACTGTCAGCACTATTATTTCCGAGATATCTGGCGTGTGATTTCCAGTTTCCTCAGTGCTAGTGTCTTCTGCATTTGTACTGGGTGGACTCGGGACCTGAAACTGCATTTTGTTTCTTCTCTTTGTCATTTTGTATACCGCTGTCTTCTGACCTTTGGTGAAGAGCTTGGATAGAGTTATTACCTTAGCACCAGGTCCGGATCTACGAAGTTCAGATTCCTCCAGGTGGGTGTTGCTTGGATCTGGCTGCTGTGCTCCACTTCTTTCTGCTGCAGCCATTAGAGTTGAACCCTTTGTGTCTCTCTGGGAAGATGTTCTGCTCCTGAATCAGCTGGGTGGTTCTTGCCTCTAGCCTCCTTGCAGGGAGTTCTGCTGAAGGGTTCCCTGCTGGGCCTGCACGCTCTGGGTCTATTCAGGATCCGGAGGACCCCAGGTCATCTCACTCACTCGCCAGGCCTGCGCTCTGGGTCTGTTCAGGATCCCGCCAGGCCCTTGGTCATCTCACTCACTGGCCGGGCCTGCGCTCTGGGTCTATTCAGGATCCGGAGGGCCCCGGTCCCCAGTCCCTGTGTACTTTATAGTAGTTAGCTTTCCCATGTTGGACATAATACCCTACACCCACAATTTATAGGAAGAGAGATTTAATTTGGCTCACATCTCAAGGGGATACAGTTCATGATCAGCTTGCTCCCAGGCAGAAGCATGGTGCACAGAAGGGTATAGTGGAGAAAAGCTGCTTAGTTCATGGTGGCAAGGAAGAAAGCCAGAAATAGTACTAGAGACGGAGACAAGAGACTGAATCTGCACTTCCACACACACTCAGAAGTGTGTCAACCAGTCCCAGTTTAGACTGTCCCCTAGCCATTATGTGCTGTATCACTGAAATATACCTTAGTTTATTGCTTCTGATTAGCAGTAGATGATTGGTCTTTGTGAGCAAGAGATGTAAAAAAACATTTTTTTTCAAAGTTTTTATTGATAAACAGCAATGAGACAGTTTCAAATCAAATCGGAAGTACAGTTTCAACAAATACTACACTGCATATATTCTTCTTAGTGGTTAATTGCTGTACAAGATGCGGACTTGTGATCCTATTTACAAACACCATTAG